TTTGTCTTTCAAATGCTGGTCTTGTCTCTGTTCCTGGGTGAGGTCCGTGCTTCCTGGGTGAATCAATGTGAGGTGATGGCCCAGTCATTACAGGCCATTCAGTAGAGGCCTGCTACCATTGTATTTCAATCATTTCCAATCACACTCATTCACCGTGGAACCAGTTTACATGGGAGGGGTATGTGACTCATACAGTTGCGACACAGGGGATGCCCGGGCGGAGGACAGAAGATGGAGGCTTGACATATAAAATGGAAACTTGACATGACTTTGGTTCACTTATAAACACAGGCCTAAACAATACTCTATCCATATGAAACAAAAATCAGTACGAAAATGATAATAATACAATATATAACAGTAAAATCAGTACAAACCTAATAATAATACAATATACAACAGTGGATATCCAAAACCAAAAACTTGCTACCAAAATAAAAATGTTTAAAGCTTATCCTACATCTTAGCTTACTTATACTTATCTATAGGGAAAAGGGAGGGAGAGAAAAAGGCAGAAATGATTGGGGAAGGGGAGGGAATGCATTTTAAAATAAATAAATAAATAAAGAAACTGGGGGTTTTGTTACAATTCAATCAGCTATTAGATAAAAGCCCAACACCCCCCCCCGCCCCACACACACACACACACACACACACACACACACACACTAAAGAGCCTGATCTATACAGATGTCAGGCAAGCCGTATCCAACTAAAAAGATGCTTCTTTTGAGCATACACTGAGCTTGGTGCAGAAGCACATAGAATTTAAAGTAAAGCTCTTTTTGTTTTTTAATGTCTGCAAACAGCCTAGTAGGATAACAGTTGCACAAGTAGTACACCAGTTAACCTACACCAATGCATAGCTACTCCTCATTTTGTAGTGGGTAACATCACTCTAGTAGAATGACTTCTACCACTGTAATGCTTTGTCTTGTGTCTCCACTCCACTTTTACTACAAAGTAGAACCTATTTCCTCCATATGAAATGTTTTGTAGGATCCCACACCCTTTGTCCATTACTAGATCTAGCTGTAGCTCTGGATCCTAACTCTAAAAGAGCTTGGCTTGTTTAATCTAGTAAATAAAAACTAAAAGTGCTAAATACTGAAAATGATCAATAGCTTATTATGAAGCATGCCCACATCTAAAGTATAATGGGCCAGATTCATCCCTGGCACACTTCCATTGTGTGCAATGAAGTGATGCTAGGAAAAAATCTGGTCCAGTTTCTGTTTTGAAGGATGATAGCCTTATGTGAATAGAAGATAGGGTTGGAGCACTGTATTTTCCATCTTTCAATACAATTTCCTTAAAACTTTTTCAATAGTTTTCTCAAAACTTCTGTTAACACAAAGATCAATTCATAGACCTAGACTCTGGTTTCTGTTACATTGTATATCTTAAGTAAATCCATTTATACAAGCATAATTGACAAAAGTTGGCCCCCTACCATACAGGTGTCCATCACAAGAGGCAGATAACCAGATGTCTTGTAACCAATGGATTAAATATTGGAGATATATATGTGTTAGTTAAAAAAAAATGATTAACAAATATCAGGAATAAAATGCTCAGTCTTTCCTTTTTCCCCCACTTAGAATCCCTGTGATGACAAGCGACACAGAGATATCTGGTCTAAAGAAAAAACCTGTGATCGATTACCAAAATTCCTAGTTATAGGACCTCAGAAAACTGGTGAGATTTTACAGTATCTTAATGTGATGCAGCTTCAAGTGACTACAATAGCAAATTAATTTTAGTCACTGTTACCGTGTTGTATATGCATTAATTATCCAGTAATATTTTTTTATTATCCAAATTTAGCTCAGTAATGTGAATGATAAAAACAGGTTTTACACAATTTAAGAATATGATATAATGGAGAGTGTTTTGCCTTTTTGTAGAAGTATTGTGATTAACACTGATAAAGAGATCATTTGGTGACTGATTGATTAGATTTAAACAGAACTGAGGAAGGAAAGAGAGTAATTTTTTTTTTAAATCATTATAGACATTTGCATACCACATGGGCAGTGTTCTTGATGGTGCTGCTGACAATCACACCTTTTCCACCCATTCCTGCTCCAGATATGCCAAACCAGAAATAAGGCAACCCTGATAATATTCCCGCTAACTCTCTCAAATTCACCAAAGACAGATCTCAGGAGCATCAGTGGAGAATGAGCCTGTGTGGCTTCACCAAGTCATGTCCAGCATACGGAGTAGGAATGGGTGGGCAGGGAGTGCTTCTTGGTCATTCTCTCCAAAGTGCCACAGAAGCAGTATAAAGATATCCATAGGGTCCAAAAAAAGAGCATATTGTTTACAGGAACTCATTGTCATTCAGTGGAATTTACATTGCAAGGCAAGAAATCCCTGCAGGACTGGTAGAACAGTAAAGTTGTGGTACTTTTTATTAATAAAATGTACTACTGCTTCTCTTCTCCATGACAACAGAAAGCTGCTTTTGTCATGTACTCCCATTCATGTACTACCAGTCACCTATAGTTAAAATGTTTAAGAGGAAATCTAGACTTTAAATAGCTTTTATGACAACCTCAGCTTGGAAACAATTGTTTGTTCTTCAAATCACATTTAAAAAATATCCTTATATGTGGCATATGCATGGAAGCTCAAGTCTTCTGTATTAACTGTACATGTTTCTTTAAAAGTTTTTGGTTAAAAAATATAGTACCAGATCCGTGGGTGGTATAAATCAGTCTGGTTTTATTGAATTCAGTGGGACAATGCTGGTTAACACCAAGTGAGGTTCTTCCTCGTACCATATATATGCCTTGTTAATCTTTGGACTTTATCCTATTTTCAGGTACCACAGCTTTGTATTTGTTCCTGATTATGCATCCTTCCATCATTAGTAACTCCCCCAGCCCAAAAACCTTTGAGGAGGTACAGTTCTTTAATAGAAATAACTACCACAGGGGGATTGATTGGTAAGATGGGTTATTAGTATAAATATAAAGTTTATATACTGTGCACAATACAAAAATGACAATACAAAATATTTGTAATGTAAGTGTGTGTACACAGATTGATAATTATATTTGCTTTTCTTTTAAAATGATAATAAAATGCCTATGAACAATGTAACCTCAGTCATAAAATACAACATATTCTAAGATGTTTATTTTCCTGCTGATATAGCATATAAAGAGATATCTATTCCCATCGTAAGACACTAATTAATTTTAAGGGAAATTACATGTCTCTCTCAAGATATTAGCATGTTCAGAATGTGCAGATAATAAATAAAAGAAGAACAGAATTATGTTTTTATTGATGCAGCTCTTCAAAGACAGAGTCTTATACATTTGTGTGACAGATACCTTATTTCCTGTCACACACACCTTTGAAATGATGACAATAAAACTAACATCATAAGTGTGATATATGATAGCATGAAATATGTTCCAAATTGAATAACTTATTTCTAAAATACAGAAAAGAAATCTTTAATAAAAATTTAAGGCATTATTTTCTGCCCTCTAAACAGAAATTAGATATTAGCAGTCAGCTATTGACAAAAGTAAAGCCTCTCAAAAATATTTTCAAGGCTCAAGCATCCAGGAAAACATTCAGCAATGCAGCAAGTAACGATAAGAAAAGAGAATGCCTTCCTGCTATCTTATTCTCGTAGCCTATGCAAGAAGTTGCTTGTATTTTCTTCTTCAAAAAGTGATGCCAAGTAAAATGCTCAAAGGTGAAAAACAGCTATATGCAGTATTAAGTGGGGAGCCACCAGTAAAAGATTATTGATATTTTGTCTTGTTCCTTTACTTCTCAGTGCAAGGGAAAATGGTTCCCGTAGACTGTATCCATCCGTAAAATTAATAGTGCAAAGGCTGTTATATGGTCTGTGTAGAGATGGTTTAGACACAATTTCTTTTCAAGGTGTGTGGTTTTCATAGAGTTATAATTGATGCAGTGGATTCTTATTACAAAGTTCAGTGAATCAACATCCATTACTGTGTGTCAGATAACAATCTGACGTGTAGAAAATAAGAGATGTCTGCTAGCTGATAACATCTACAGACTATCCTCAAACTCCAGTGCAGATTCTTAGCCATTTTTATCCATGTTATTTATAGTTATAGTTATAGTTAAATTTACCTCTGTACAAAGCACCAGCACAAAACCTGTGCTCTTGGATGAATTTCAGCCACTCAGGGCAGTCCACTAAAAAGAGGTTGCTTCTAAAAGCCTTTTATATTGTAAACATCAGGAAACTTTAAAATGAAAACCACCAGATTTTTTGAGCAGCCAGACACAGCTAATACCCAATCAGAAAAGACCTCCTGGCACCCTATAATGTTGTTAGAATATGCAACATGGTGTTTTGTTTGCTTTTATTGAGCAATGATGATGTCTGTTTTTTTAGGTTATTCTCTAATAAAATCTATTTAGCATGCTCATCAACCCTCCTTGCTTTACAGTGTTCGGGACCTTTGAGTATTTCTGAGGACACTGTTCTTTTTCTAGGTATATGGATTTCTTTCCAGTACCATCCAATGTCACCACTGATTTTCTCTTTGAGAAAAGTGCCAACTACTTTCATTCTGAGGAAGCTCCTAGACGAGCAGCCTCCCTCATCCCCAAAGCCAGAATCATCACCATTCTCATCGATCCATCAGATCGGGCATATTCGTGGTATCAGGTATGGTCTTTGAAGAACACGGTCATCTTGTAGTTGAGCAAATGCAAGGCAGTCTTTTTTACTTGGATCCATTCTATACTGAAAAGCAACAGATTTTGGTGAAGTTATATTTATTGAAATACCAATCACGAGTGGATTTATGAAAAAAGCTCCCTATGAATATAAATTTGAAACAACACTCTTTTAAAATGTATAAACACCTGAGATTTTCACAACTCTGAGTACAAATACATACATGCAGAAGCAATGTTTATACAGACAGTTGCATGTACTAAATATGAGAATTGCATGTGTTATTTGTCAAGACCTCATTCTTCTGCCAACAAGGGTGTGAACGTGCAGGGAAAAGGAGTGTGAACTTGCAGGGAAAAGGAGCCTTTTCGACATTTGTTGAACTGACATAACAGAGGAATGTGGGTCCACATTGTAAATAATTTGATGTACTTAGGCTTGGATGCATAACACTTGCATATGTCTTAGACTGATAAGAGAATTAAAACATGAAAAGATTTGGAAAAATGTTATCTACTGGAAAATTTCAGCTAAGTCACAATTGAATTGACTTGCATTCAGCTTTTAAATCCAATGTCAGATTCAGTATTCTTTGGGAGAGTACAGACAATAGAAATTAGTATTTTACTATACTGTTTAGTCTATATCAGGGCTGTCCAATGCTTCTGATGCAGCCCATTCATGGGGAGGAGGCACAGACTTAGTGCTGGGTGAACGGGGACCGCCAGCACAGCCCAAGTAGTGGGAGCGGATCTGGAGAAGGGGGGCACCAATGCAGTATGCAGCCCACAAGCAACATGCCTACACCATGTGCAGCCCCAGGCCACACTAAAGTTGGATAGTCCTGGTCTATATTACTGAAGTGTCATTCTGCTTATAATCCCCTCTGAATTATTATATAAAAAAGCTAGGTTAAAGTTAAACAGGATTTTTTTCATATCAGAAACTTGAATGCAGTCCCCAAATATAATTCACACTAATTAGACAAAACAGTAATACATTTCTAATATAATTCACAAGCACATGGATGAAAACCTGGATGGTCCATATGAGTTTAGTTTCATATGAAGCACAGACATGGATGGATCTAAGATTTCCAAAAGAGGGGTTCAGATGGTGTAGCACATCAGCACATATAACATAACATATTTTTCTCCAGTTAAAGAGAAAATAGAACCTTTATTAATATGCTAGAGGGAAAGTGCTATATTATTAAAACAAATATATGTGTATATATATCAATGAATATATAAATATATATATAACATATATAAATTATAAAAAGAAATACAGATATATATAGATATTGGAAAACAAATATAGTATTGGAAAGTGCACTGATTTGCTAGATTATATATACAGTTTTAAAAAACACAACAAATTAGGCAAAAAATAGTCAAAATGATCAAAAGATATTGTGTCATTAGTCCTATAGTCATAATAATTATATATATATGTATATATA